AGGTGAGCCGGGTGGAGACCCCCGGGACGGGGGGGGGAAGCGTCGGGCAAAGATCTGGGCTGAAATCTCGGTTCAGCCCCAGTTCGGCCCTATTTCAGCCCTATTTTAGTCCCAGTTCAGCCCCAGGCTGGTCCCAGTTTAGACCCAGTTCAGCTCAGGTTCAGCCCCAGTCCAGCCCCATTTCAGCCCCATTTTAGTCCCAGTTCAGTCTCATTTCAAGCCTCATCTAAGCTCCAGTTTAACCCCAGTCCAGCCCCAATTATGGCTCAGTCCAGGCTCATCTCAGCCCCAGTTTTGCCCCAGTCCAACCTCAGTCCAGCCCCAGTCCAGCCCAGTGTCCGGAGGGGCTGTGGGTTCAGTCCTGTCTGTGGCCGTGGCCGTGGCTGACCCCCGCTTGTCCAGAGTGTGGTCCGGGTGGTTTTCCACGACCGCCGCCTCCAGTACTCGGAGCAGCAGCAGCTCGAGGGCTGGCGCTGGAGCCGCCCCGGCGATCGGATCCTGGACATCGGTGGGTGCCGGGACCGGGGGAGATCCGGGGGGGCTGCAGGGGCCGTACTGACCCCCCCACCCCGCAGACATCCCGCTCTCCGTGGGAATCCTGGAACCCCAAATCCACCCCACGCTGCTCAACACCGTGGAATTCCTGTGGGACCCCTCCAGACGCACCTCCGTGTTCGTGCAGGTGGGAGCCGGGGCTGGGCGGGGTTCGGGGAGGCTCTGGGGGGGTCACGGCCCCCACCCCCGACCCCTCTGCCCCCCCTTGCCCCCCTCCAGGTTCACTGCATCAGCACCGAGTTCACGCTGCGGAAGAACGGGGGGGAGAAGGGGGTCCCGTTCCGCATCCAGATCGACACCTTCGGGGCGGGGGGCAAGGGGGACCCCCCCGAGCACCTGCACTCCGCCAGCTGCCTGGTCAAGGTCTTCAAGGTATCGGGGGGGCACAGTGACCCCAGAGTGACCAGAGTGTGATCAGAGTGACCCCAGTGTGACCCCAGAGTGACCAGTGTGACCCCAGAGTGTGATCAGAGTGACCCCAGTGTGACCAGTGCCCCCCGCTATTGGGAGCTCCAGCTCTGAGCGTGGGGCAGTACCGGGGGTGGGGTGGGTGCGGGGAATGGGGTCCATACACCGCGGGGTCCCGGTGGTCCCGGGGCCCCCCCTCACCCCCCGGCACAGCCCAAAGGCGCCGACAGGAAGCAGAAGACGGACCGGGAAAAGGTGGAGCGGCAGCCGGCGGCGGAGCGGGAGAAGTTCCAGCCGGCCTACGAGAGCACCGTGCTGGCCGAGGTGGGGCCCGGCCCCGGCACCCCCCGGGCTGGGGGTACCCCCGGGACCCTGCACCCATCACCCGCTCCCTCCTCAGTGCCCCCCTTGGCCGGACGCGCTGGGCGCCCCCCACAGCCCCCCGGGCACCCCGGGGCTGCCGTCCCCTCACCCCTTCAAGCTGCTGAGCCCCGAGAGGTGAGCGGAGACCCCCCGGAACCCCCGTTCCCATTGCTGGGGTGCCCCGCTGAGCCCCGATCCCCCCGCAGGGTGTGCATGTCCCCCGCCTGCGCTGCCGAGGGCCCCGCGGAGAGTCCTGGTGAGGTGAGGGAGCGGCCGCTGCAGCCCCAAAGCCCCCGCAGCCCCCCAGGAGGGGCTGGGGCTGTGCCCGCTCGGGTC